TTTTTTTTTTTTTTTTTTTTTTTTTTTTTTTTTTTTTTTTTTTTTTTTTTTTTTTGAAGAAAATGACAAACTCTAGAGAGGGTCTATAACGCCACTGGATTGGAAAATCATAGCTCGCAATAGAACTTTGAGTCGAACATTTTAACTCTTGTTGTTATTGTAGTTCATTTACGTCGCACTAGAGCTGCACAATGGGCTATTGGCGACGGTCTGGGAAACATCCCTGAGGATTATCCGAAGACATGCCATCACAATTTTGATCCTCTGCAAAGGGGATGTCTCCCCTGCTTTGGTAGCCTGAAGACCAGCGTACGAAGTCGAGCACTTTACGGTAGAGCAGTTTAACGAGGACCAATACCGCACACCCTCGGTCCCTACGCAGACTGATCCAAGTGGTCAATATGAAATAGTAGTTTTTATTCTGCCTGCTATAGGGAACGATAAAGAACGTACAGAGAACGATTTTCAATATCAAATCGGTGGTAAAAAATAATTTTAATGAGCCATAAAACATATAATGTCATTTTAAAACATTAGAATGATCCGTCCCCATCTCGATCTACTCACCAAATTCCGAGATTGCTTCTCATTCATCTTTACTTAAAAATCGATATTTCTAAAAAATAAAGAAAAAATATTTGGTTAATGAAATATATTATTATCAAAATTTAATGTAAGAACACTTTATAAACTAGTTTATCGTAACGAAATGGGCGTTAACTTAAATTTGAAAGATAATAAACTAAACTTCCTAAAGAGACTTAAGAAAACAAAATGTGTGACACAATACGAAGTAATTTTACTCGTGATACTATTATTATAACAGTTCCAATTAGAAACGGTATTTATCTTTCTTAAATCCATTTTTTTTTCTTTATATTTTTAATTTTTCTTTTTTTAGTTCTTATTATTTTTATTTTATAATAAATAAATTGCTTGAAATAAAGTACTATTTCTATCTATAATTAATTTGAAACACCAATTTCTTATTTAAGTATGGTCATATTTTTTGAAGTATCAAAAATTTCGTTTGAAAATGTTATTTCACATCCAAAAAAATGTGAATTTAATCTTCAAAACATCATGAAGATGAATTAATTTTAAAATCAAAAGTCGTTTTTTAGAACACTTAATTAAATTTGCTGGTAAAGAATCTGCTATTTTAATAACTGCATTTAAAACTTTAGAATTTTTTTACAGTGGTTTTTATTACTGTAAAATAATTAAAACACAATTTTGTTTTAAGTAATTAAACGAATTTTTTGCCAAAGTGTAATGAATCTGTTACAAGGACTATCTCCTCATTAGAGTCACTCCACACCACATCTTGATCTTAATTTTTTCTCCGTCATTTCGCAGTTGATTTAAAAAATTAGCAACTCCTTCAAACAAACATTATTATTTTTTGTAAATTATAATCAGTTTACTTAGCCGGGAATATATTATAGTCATGATTTATTGGAAATATTCATGCACATATAAGCAGGAGTGTAGAAAATTTTCAGTCCCTAATATTTCCTCAGAACAAAGTCTTTTTTTTTTTTTTTTTTGTAGAAATTTCCTCAAAAATTTTAATATTTTTTCTTTAGTACAATAACTTTTCTTTAAATATTTTTAGAAAGTAAAGTTTACATATGAAAGGAAATTCATTTGATTTTACAAAATTCTTGAACAACCAAGCATATGCTAAGAATTATTAGAAATTAAAATATATTGAAATGATAATAATTTTTTAGTAAATTACAAGTCCCACTCATTAACTTAATTCAAACTACTCAATAAAAAAATTGACATTTAATGTTTCTCAACAAGGAAAAATTTTGTAAAGCGACACATTTTTTATTAATAAAAAATTTTGTAGGAATTTTTTTAAATTTTCCTATGGCTGACTGAATTTTCCTCAAAACCTTCTTCGAATAATTTGACATATTCTGTTAACCTGCATATAATAAGTAATAATAATAAAATTGGGAATAAAAAAAAGTTTTTTTTTTTTAATTTTAATTGGCGATTATTAGCAACCACTTTAGTTTTACTTAATCTAAAAATATAAATCATAATTATAGTACATAATGCAAGTATTATGCATGATTTAATATCTAATAAATTGTCCCCAATGTTAATAAAGAAATTTGTTCCAGGTTTTTTTTGACAGTTGTTATCAGGACATGACAGTTTTTGACTCCTTTATTTTTTGCCAATACGGCTGACCTTTTGGAAAAAAACAGGAATAAAAATTAAAAGAGAAAGATTAAATGTTGTCAGATAAAAATCGTTATGTTGAAATTTTTTAAAATACAAAAGTTGAAAACAGAAATTGTTTTATGATAAAGGTTATAGTTATAATATATATGTAAAGAGGTAAAGGACAACATGTTACCAAAATTTAATTTTTGAAGAGAGCAGTATCTTATAGTATCTAAGTTATTTAGTACCTTTTTTCTAACTGACTAACTTCGCCATTTATTATGACATGACATAGTGCTCTTAGAATCTACAACAAGGACAAGATATCAAATCAATTTTTGGAACAAATGGACTTAGTGTCCTTTACCTCTAATATATATATTCTTAACAAGTAAATTAACTTTGCATTCACTACTTATTATTATTGTGCAGCCCGTGATATGTTAAATTTTTTTCTTCTCAAATATGTTGAATACTTTTAAAATCCAGTATCCTTTTATCTCATTACGTTTAACAAATTAATCAAATTTTGGTTACATAAAATTATAAATTTCATAAACAAAATAATTTCTTATCGACCATAAAGGAAAAAAACAATGATGTATATCAACCACGGGAATTGTTGAGCGAAGCGAACAGAAGGCGGAACTTCATAGTATATTAAAAAGTATCTAAATTTAAAAAAAGTATTATGCAGTGCTGCTACCATGCTGCATGATTTCTGCTACCATGATGAATAGTTACGACAATCAAACTAAGTGTCAAATTTCAAAAAAGATCCTTGAAAAGTTCAAAGTGCACAATTTTGAAAAAGCTTACATTCTAGTTAAATGTGCATGGAAGGAAAAACACAGTTTGTAAGTTTAGTTAACTGCAATGACGTTTATATTCATGATACATTTTTCAAAATCGAGTTTTAAAAAATTTTACTGTCCCGCACTCAAATGAACTTTTTTTTTCCATTGAAAATGCTCAAATCGAATTTCAAATAGATAATAACTATTTGATTAAAATCAAAATTCAATTATAGTTAAGGTATTTTAAAATTGTTAAACTATTTTATAATCTATAAGATCTCATTCTTATTATTAAGGCCCGGATTTTGATGACATTTGCATTTTTTGCATTTTTGGACATTTTTTGTCTTTTAGAGCATTTTTTTAGATTTATAGGGCATTTTTCTTTAAATTTTGGGGCATATTTTGCATTTTAATGCATTTTTTAAAGTTTTTTGTTAATTTTTTCCAATTTTTATTATTTTTTATCAATTTTCATTATTACACTGGCTTCCAAACAATGAAGAAAATCTATAGGATATTAACAGGTGAAGCAAAATCTTTTCAAATTGAAGAAGAATTGTCAGTAAGTGAGACCGTCTTTTTCAAGTACGCACCTATAACATCAGTAGACGTTGAAAGAAGCTTCTGCAGGAATGAAAATTTACTTTCAGACAAGAGACGCTCGTTTACATTTCAAATTATCAAAAAACATTTAATAATCCAATGTAATTCTGATATTTAGTAATATTATGAGATGGAAGTTGTTATATCCATTAAAGTTTCTATACAAAATAAAAATATTTTGGTGTCAATATATTTTCCTTTTTTTGTTATTTTAGGATATAAAACAAATTTTTCAAACTTTAATGAACGTAGAACAAGTATTGAATTGCTTTATATTTTTTAAATGACTCATAATAATTTTAAAGAGCAAAACATTTTTTTAATTCAATATTTTTACTTTATTTAAGGCATTTTTTGCCCAATTTTTGGATTTTTAAGGGCATTAGTTGAGACTTTTTAGGTCATCAAAATCCGGGCTCTACTTATTATCATTTATTTACATAATTTAGTGTCTTGATTGTGTGTGTCTGGATGCCAATTTTTGAGGGAAACAGAAAATTACACAGTTATATCTTAGTTCTCAAAATTTCACATTTGAAAGAAAATTCTTCCATCTTCAAAATGATAATTTTTTGTCTTATATTTTTGAACTTGTTCTATAGTTTTGAGCTTGTCTTAACTTACAAATTTAAATTGATAATGATAGTAGTTTTTTTGTTGGTCTGAATTTTTTAGAATAATTTAATTATAACGGGGGACAAATACCCATCAACTTCTGCAACAATAACACCCTTGTCTGAGTCAGTGCAAACACATATGAAGTACATACTCTATAGTACAATGTAATAGGAATTTAAGATAAAGGAACTGTAAAAGATACAAGGAACAAATCTTTAAGCATCCATATATTAAAAAGCATGACACAAATGAAAAAAAAGATGAGAGATTTAGAATTATGAAACAATACTTCTAAATATTATAAAAGTTTGCAAAAATATATAATAATTTGTTCATCGATAAATTAATGTTGTATTCACAGTAATTATACCAAATAACAAGGTGTAAAATAATAATTATAACTATTAAAATTAGATTTTTAAAGAAAACTTTAATAACGGTAAATATTTAAATCCCGACTTCATATGAACCATAATAAACTAAATTCACAATCTTCAAGAGGAAAAAATGCCTTTTTTAAAATATTTTTTTAGTTATTATTTTATTCTTTTATAAAATTAGAGCTCTATATAAAAGTAACAAATATAGCTATATAACAATATAAAAGTAACTATAGCTATAATAACAAATATAACTATATAAAAGTAATAGTATTGTATTACATTGTTGCTAAGGTAAATATGTCTTATGGTAAAATCTTTGCATTTGAATATTGTAAAAAATGATTTGTAAACCAGTTTGCCATTACCCAAATTATTTTCATCTTTTAATTTCTTTGGCAATAGTGACATAGGGAACAAATGAAAAAAATGGTGAAAATTTCAAGTTATTCATTTATAGAATTTTTAAAATTATATTTTAAATTAGAATATAAGTTTAGATCATTTAAATTAATTCACATGTAAAAAATAAAGATTTCTTGTTTCTTTGGCTCTCTCTGAAGTTACTCAGTTGAAGATTATATATATAGTAGTAAATTATAATAAATAATAATATATTGCTGAAAAATACTTTATAATTCGTACAGCATTAATATTTAAGTTCTATGATAGGATATCATAATTGCATATATTGATAAGGTACATAATGATAATTGTATATATTAACCCTTTCGCGCCTAACGGGACACATACGTTCCAAGCAAATTTCAAAAAAAAAAATTTGGGGACAGAAACGCTTCTCTGTCTAATGGGAGACTTTCCCACCAGTCCTGCCAATATTTTTGAAGGTATTTTCATTCACAGAACATAGATGGCACTACCGTCCATAATGCTCCCTACTCAGTTTATGTTACCAAAATTGTTCAGTTGTAAAAAAAAAAAAACTCGTCGCGAAAGGGTTAATAGATATCATAATTGTATAGATTGACATAAAAAAAATTCTTTACATGAATTCATTATGAAAATATAACTACAATGCATGGAAGATATAGAATAAACACATGTAATAAATTGATTGTTATTTACAAATTTCTATCACTTAAAAAAAAAAAATCTTTAAATTCCAAAAAACAAAAACTTTAATAACTGGATATAAATCACAGATAATACAAATTTTTACAGTACTAAAAAATTGAGGTAATTGTAAACAAGGAAACAAATAACTAAGAATATTTTAAATTAAACATTCTATAAAATCACAAAAATTTATAATTTTTTTTCATAAATATAAAATGCAGACATTCGTTAATATATATATCACAAAAAAAATGATTCAATTAAAAACTAAAGCTTCTAAGATAAATGTGACATGTAATATGACAATAAAGATAAAAAGTCACATGTAAAAAGTCAGAAAGTCAAGCAATCATGGAATTGTCCAGTAAATAAAAAGGAATTGCAAGTTTTCATCTTAAATACAGTAAGTATAATAAATTTATTGTGCAGCAATTTAGTTATATTAAAAAAAAAGCTATAAAGCTCATAGGCGTAGAAATTATAAATATGAAAATTATTAGGTAAAAAAAATAGTCTTTGATACATTATTATAACAATATTCACTAATTTCTGACATATTTTCAATATCAATTGATTAAAATAAGCCTAAGTACCGGCCATGCATTTCGTGTTAGCAACTTAATGATCATACTAATCAGACTTAGCATATATATTATTCTTAAAATTTAAAAGAAAAAATTAATTTCATGATCATCAGGTTTAAAAACTTTTAATTTAGTAAAAAATTACTATCTCCATATAGCAATGAAATAGTTTTGTAATTTTCACCACATTTATATCAACTTGCCTAGGTGTATGTTTGTTCGGGTAGAATTTTATATTCGATTTTAAACTAACTTCCCGACTAGCTACAGACTTCAAATTTGGCACATAGTTCAGAATTGGATGATAATGCATGAAAATGAAGAGTAAAAAGACATACAAAGTAAAATAAAATAAAAGTTAAAGAAAAAAATATTTTCGCATTTATCTTTTGCTGTCGATTCGATTATTTCAAATTTGTGTCACATGTCAATTGAAAAGTTTTGTGTACAGTGAGTGAAAAAATTGAGATTTTGGAAGTGAGTACAAAAAAAATATCAAAATAAAAATAATATTTTTAAAAACCATGTTTTGGTAGTGGAGAATAATAATTAAAAAACAAAAATTTGAAAAACGAAAAACGTGGGGATCATGAAATACATAACAGTACGTATACACTTACACATTTTCTTACTCATACACATGCACAACCACATTCAGATACAATTACAGATATACATACACATATTCTCATGAGTACACACACTAATATAACATTACTGTTATGTATTTCATGCGCCCCATGTTTTTCGCTTTTCAAATTTTTGTTTTTTAATTATTATTCTCCACTAGAAAAACGTGGTTTTTAAAAAGATTATTTTGATTTTTTTTACTGTTGATTAGTTTATTGTAATTTCTAGAAGAACAACAGATAATAATAAAAGAATATTATGGAGAAAGGTACTATTTAAATTTTATGTTAAAAATTCATAATATACAACTATTACCATCATTGCCTGATTTATAGAAAAGCCTGCGAGTGCCTAGTTCCCCCTAAATATTTCGAATTATTTCTTTTAGTGTTTTTCTTTACAAATTGCCCAATCAAATAATGTATTAACAAAAATTTTATTGAATATATAAACTCAAATTTACTAATGTATCATAATTTACTCTCATGTTATAAATAAATTGAAGTCATAAGGAACATAAAGTCATAAGTATAGTCATAATAAGTCATAAATAAACAACAAGTAAATTTGGTTTTAAGTTATGACCAGGGGGCCAGTGACAGTTTTGTGCCTGGGGCCTACTCATTTCTAGGTCAGGCTCTAATTATTATAAATAATTTTTAAAAGACTTATAAAAAATAAATTTCATTTAAAAAAATCAACACACATAATATCTAAAACAACAAAGAGCATATAATACAAAACACTTCATTAACTCTGAACAGTAGGACAGGGGTATACATCGTTCAATATCAAGGTAGTGGAATCAGTGTTGATCCTATGTTTGGATTGGCCTTTTTTTAAGCATCCCAAATTATGGTGTACCCGTGATGTTTTTCGATATAAGGATATCTACATGCGCAACAAAGACAATAGTTCCCGATAAACTTGCTTGCTCAAACGTGAATAAAGAGCAATTCTCCCAATCAGATTTTGATCACTTCGAACTCGCATGAAGAGTATGTTTCTCTGATTGAAAGTGTACAAAGATTACTATAGCAATTATCATTATTTTTATTCATGCTTCTTTGATCAGGACTCAGCAGAGATATACATTCTATTACCACTATAAATCTCAATGTGCGAGCGAATAATCGAGACTTGAAGTGTTATTGAATATGTCAGTTATCGAAACATGTTCTTTTAATTATCTGATTGTTCAGAATCAATTTAGCCATTTATCATTTTTTAAATGCAATTTTGTTAAAATATCCACATCTTTAATTATAGAGAAATATTAATCATTGTTAGAAAATATTAAAAAATAACAATGTTGGTAAAAAAATATTGGAACTTACTATTAATGGAATTTTAATATTTTCTTAATAATCAGTGATTTTTTTTTTTTTTTTACTTTTTAACACATTCATTTTATTTTAATAAATATTGATAGTAATTTACTAAAATGATGTGGATAAGATCCTGAATCAGAAGTTATGTCTGCCTTTTTGCTTCAAGTGTTATTAAGGTTTCATTTTCAATCTTTCTCAATCCATCATTAAAATTTTTTTATTGTTCTGTTTTTCATGCTAAATTTTGATTAAAGACATATTCTGTGGCAAGTGGCTTTTTTTTTAAAAAATTTTTTAATGTATTATATCAATGATGTATCATCATGTTACTGATTTGATTTGTTGATTTTTAAAAAGAAAAAATACAATTTGTTGTTGATAATTAAACAAATTTATCAAATTTTTATTTGTCAAGTAAATCGAGGCTTGAATTTATTGCAAGAATATAATCACCTTATTCAATCAAATGCTCGAAAAAGTGCAAGAATTCAAAATTGCACAATACCAAATTCAACCAATTTATGAAATACCAAATCTAAAACATTAATGTAACGAAACATTGGGATGGGAAAGTGACGATACATCACAATGACATAATCTTAATATCACCCTGTCCTACAGAACAAAACTATATAAAATTTAATAAATGTCAACAACAATACAACATCTAAATATCAACAATAAAAATGCTATAAAACATCCACTTAATGATTATATTGAAAAAATAAAATTTAATATTGCAGTGAATGCATAAGAGAGATAATGGTACAAAGCATAACTAACTCCATAAACTGAAAAGTATTGTATTTCAATGTTTGACCAGTGAACTTCACATGATTTTTAACTTTGTGTTACACATGCAAAAAGAATAATAATAATAAGCAATTAAAAATACAAGTTGTTAATAATATATTAAATCTAATTGAGCTGCAAAGACTTATGTAGTTAAGGCACTGAACTGTAATTGTGAAGAACTGTTGTTTGATACTCAGTGGCGGCTTTAGGCATTCCTAGCTTCAAATCAATGGATACCAGCATATCATACTCAGTGGCTGCTGAAGGCATTCCTAGCTTCAAATCAATGGATACCAGCTTATCATACTCAGTGGCTGCTGAAGGCATTACTAGCTTCAAATCAATGGATATCAGCTTATCTGGGAATTAAAGATGGTCTGTATGCTATGCTGGTCACAATAATGCTATAAGTCACGAAATTGTGGAACCTGAACCTTTTTGAGCCATTGGCCAACAACAGCTTTTGTGGAAATGTTTTTTTTCTTCTTTCTAATCTAATTGCAAGATGCTGAAATATCTTTTTGGCTCTTTAATTTAAAAACAGATGCAGCTAATTCCGGATTATTTACCATAATTTCTGCAAACTTATTTATTACTGTTTGATTCTCGAAGTGCTCAGTAATATAATAAGTTGCATAATTTTTAAGTTCATCATCATCATATTTATCAGCCAATTTCAAAGCTTCACATGCATTTGAGAATTTTAAATTAGTTTTCATCTTGTGAGATAAGTACTTTTTTAATAATATTACCTCATACTTATCTGCAATACAGTACAGTTCCTGAATGGTTTTCATATTGACTCCACCAACAACTCCAGTATAAAGAAATCTAAGAAATGACTCCAAAACATTTTTATTCATGTCATCTACCTCAATAACATCAAGCTTATTTTCAGAGAGAAGTCTTTTAAAATAAGGACACCTTGCGCACAAAACAAATTTGTGAGCGCGGATATAAACACCAGAAACCTTCAAGCAAACATCAGTATAAAGATTTGTTTCATATGCTATTTTAAAATCGGCAATAACTTCTAGCACTGTGTCTTCAGCGGTATTTTTTTCTGAAAGAGAGGGCATAGATTTTACAGTTGAATCAACACAGCAACCAAAGACTTTTAAGGTACCACTCACAATTAATGAACCACCTTTAATATGTTTAATTCCGTTCTGTTCACCTTCTGCTTCAGATTCAGAAGTTAAGACTTGTGTTGGCGATGAATGCAAATCAGAGTCAGAATTATCCCCTCCCTTACTTGTACTGCAATCTAATTTGTGCGTTATACTAGCAAACTTTTCTGCGATGCACCAATGGACTTGACAATTTTTGCGGCTCGCGAACTTCATCTTCCGACGAGTAATAACATGGTCATTTGCATCACTAAATTTCAAATTCGATATCACAGTAAGAGTTTTATTACATCGATCTGCACGTTTAAAGCCGGCAGACAGTTTAGAAACACTAGTACCACTATTAACAACTTTTAGAGCCTCTTTAAATTTTATTTTACAGTCCTTATCAAGAACAAATATTTCACCATATATCGTGTTTGATATTTCCATCGCATTTTTTATTTCCCATTCAATTGACACTTCATGGCATTTATTAACAGTCTGGATGAAAACATTTTTTCTTGCCATTACACGACTCTTACAAAGAAGCTTTTGTTTCAATCATTTCGTTGAACTAGATATTTAACATAATTTACTCAGCATTTCTTCAACCCAATTACAAATAAGAACGGTAATAATAACAATCACCTTGTAAATCAAGGATAATCAGGTATCTTGGTTTGCCATGAAATGAAACCGAAACTAAACTGTCTGATGCCAGATTTACTACTATTCTTCATAAAGTTCTTTAGCGACTTATTTTGGGGAGAACAGTTTATGCAGCCGAGATTCTATTATGTTAACCCTACAAATCAGAGGAGCGGCAGCATATGAAATCGGTGAGGCGCTAAGATTATTCTCAAGCCAAGTTTTGCACCGGATATGAGAAGCCTGTGATGTGCGGTAATCTTTGTTAAACACTTTGTTAAACAATTAGATCACTTTGTGTCAGAAAGTAACAAAATTTATTAAGCAAGTGGATTGGTTGTTCGCTTCTAGTAACTTAAAAGCAGTAATGCTGTAACTTTTTATCCCTTATCATCCCCATTGTGGTCAGACGTAGGAAAAGAATGAAAGACTGTTTTTGTCAGAGAAAGGCAAACAATGCGAAAAGAATGAGCATTGAAATAAAATTTCATTGCAAATAATTGATAACTTTTTTTTTCCTAAAAAAGCAAAAATTCAGAACAAAATTAAAATCAATTTTCTTTTCAAAGAAAACTTTCGAAAAAAAATTCTTTTTTAATTAATTTACGTCGCACTAGAGTTGCACAATGGGCTACTGGCGACGGTCTGGGAAACATCTCCGAGGATGATCCGAAGACATGCCATCACAATTTTAATCCTCTGTAGAGGGGATGGCACCCCCGATTCGATAACCCGACGACCTGCACGTGAAGTCGAGCACTTTACGGTAGAACAGTTTAACGAGGACCAATACCGCACACCCTCGGTCCCTACGCAGACTAATCCAAGTGGTCACCCACCCGCACACTGGTCGCAGCCAGTAATGCTTGACTTCGGTGATCTGCTGTGAGCCGTGTCTTAACGATCAGTTCACTGCGAGACTTTGAAAAATTTCAGAAAAAAGTTAAGACTTCTTTAGACGTTTTCGATACAAATGATTATACTTATTTGCAAAAAAGTATCGATAAAACAAGTAAGAGTATAAAATTTAAAAAGTAAAGTTTACAAATAAAAGTGCGTACCTTTTTATTTTATGTAATAAGTAAAAGCATTGCTATGCATGTTGGTGAGCTATGGAAGAAATCCTTTTTATTGATCAGAAAGGTATGTCTGTTTGACTGATTGAATTTCAGAATAAAAAAGGAGTAAAAATTCACCTACTTCTTTAGTATGCAATTAAAAATAGAATAGGCGAGGAACAATTTGTGAAGTTAGAGTAATGTTATTTTCACAGTATCTGTCTATTTTGCTCAGTTTCATCATCGTTAGAACTCTTTATCCAATATACATATACACTGGTTATCATAAATTAAGGAAAATTCACAAAAATCGCGATAACTCAAGAAATTACACATGGAATTTTATGAAACTTACCCACAATATACAACACATAGTAAGGTATTAAACAACATAAAAAGAAATTATCAGACATTAATAGTAGTATAGAAATTAGCACATGTATAANAATAAATAAATAAATACAAGAAAGCACGAAGAACAGAAGGATAAATAAAGAAGAGAAAAATAATAAGTTTCATTTATTGCGCATGAGCTGCAAGTAAACAGAACTCATTAGATAAGTTCAAAAAGAAGATAAAACAAAGGAAAATTATAGACATATATAGACATAGCTAACACTTATTTTTGCATTATTATGAAAAAAAATTATACTCTTAGTATTAAATTTGTTTTTAGATATATTGATGACTTAATTATCTTTAATTTTCAAGATTATACTATTTAATTAAATGATATTTACCCTGAGGAATTAATCTTGCTTCGTAATCATAATGATAATAATAATTTCAATTTTTTGGATTTGGGTATTACAAAAGTGGAAAATATCTGCTTTGTTGATTTATACGTTAAAAAAAATGATTTTAATATTAATAAACTAATTACTTAATTAACTAAGTACTTAATTAACTAAATACTTAATTAACTAAATACTTAATTAACTAAATACTTAATTAACTAATTACTTAATTAACTAATTACTTAATTAATCTAATGTTTCTAGGAGCATCTATTTAAATACCACTTTTAATGAAATGAACAGAATTAAAAGAATATGTAGTAATATTTATTTATTCAAAAAACAAATCGACTAACTCTTTCAAAATTTGATTAAAAAAAAACAATGGATACCCATCTAAAGTAATAAAATTTTATTTAAAATCATTGAATTAATCGCATACTTTTGTGGATATATTTATTAAACATTTTCTTTGTTAATTTATACAATTTTCCCATGTGCAAATCCATTTCGGGTAAAGCCGTTGCCAAAATTATTTACTAAGTAATTTCTTTGTTAATTTGCATAATTTTTCCATGTGCAGATCCATTTCGGGCAAATCCGTGTTCAAAATTATTTACTAAAAAATTTCCTTTGTTAATTTCTATAATTTTTCCATGTGCAAATCCATTTCAGGCCAATCCGTGGCTAAATTATCTACTAAAAATTTTTTTCTTTGTTAATTTTTATAAATTTTCCATGTTCAAATCCGTGGGTAAAATTATTTACTAAAAATTTATTTATTAATTTATACAATTTTTTCTTGTGCAAATCCATTTCGGGCAAATCCGTGGCTAAAATTTTCTACTAAAATAATTTTTCTTTGTTAATTTTTATAATCTTTCCATGTGCAAATCCATTTCGGGCAAATCCGTTGGTAAGATTATTTACTAAAAATTTCTGTATTAATTTTTCCATGTGCAAATCCGTGTTAAAATTTTCCACTAAAATTTTTCTTCTTTGATAATTTATATAATTTTTCCATATGCAAATCCATTTCGAGCAAATCCGTGGCTAAAATTATTTGCAAAACAGGCAATTTATGTTTCTCTTTTATATTTTTTCTTAAATAAATATTTATTTTCTAATATCATTTATGGTCAACTTTTTTAATTATCCAGCATAATATTAACTTGAGCACATCCATTTCGGGCCCATCCTTGGTAACTAACAAATCAATGCAGAGCATAACAAATCACTTCAGCAATGCAGTAAGAACGGCACTTTAAATTCCTCTAGTTACACTCAATTTGGGTTTTTGTTCTCATATTTTGTAATCTGGCAATCTTGCAGCGAAAATATTTTAAAATCATTCTTGAAAAATTTCCCGTTCATGTAAGTACATCGGATTTCGCTACTCGCTTAATAGTTTTTGTTTTGTTTTATACTGTTTTCTTTTTTTTATTTTGTTTTCTGTTTTCGCGTGTTATTTTTACTTATTGTGTTCTATTTTATTTGTTGTAATTTTTGTAAAAAAATTTTTTGAGAGCTCCTCACACTATTGTATTAATATATTTTGCTTTGGCTATATTGATACAATATCAGAAAGCACTCTTTTTTGCGGATATAATCGTGTGGGCTGATGAAACGATTATATCTTTTATTTTCTTGTATTTTTAAAAAATTTCATCCTTTTTTTTAATCAGTTGTTTGTTATTCGCCCCCCTCTTTGCATATGTCTATAATTTTCTTTGTTTAATCTTCTTTTTGAACTTATATATATATAATATATAATTGTTTTAACTTTACAAAGCGTAACACACACACACACA